GTAAAAGGCAAACAAATATATAGCCATCCCTGTTTTTCTGTAACTACGGTGTAAGGATGGGCTAAACTATTAGATTGCCAATATATAAAGCTATGTAAAGCCAAACTCTGGATCAATGCTGATTTCGTTTGGCTCTGTTTTTATAGTTTGAGTCATTTTAAGTGTATCTGATGTTACTTCAAATGTTTGCGTTATTATTAACGACAAGTTTTTTTTTGCCTTTCTTTACATTAACAAGTTAAGTTTGCCGCTACATGGGTACAGGAATACGATCCGGTATGGAAACTGGATCCGAATTTTTCAATTTCTCGTTGGGTTATTCAAAATCTACAGTAGAGGCAATTATGGACAAAAAGCTAAAACGGAAGGAATCTATTTTAATTTTTTAATATGATCTATTTTGAATACGACTATAGATGTACGTTTAAATTAAAGGCTTTAAGACCAATTTGTTTATTTTTATTTTACCCAAACTGCTTTTAGTCTAACAGAGCCCTTAATTGCATTTGACTGGTTTCGAGTGAATGATTTAAGCGGCCGTCATCCTTAACTCGATAAGTTCAGGATCCAGAATACCTATTTCATTAGGTGGAATACCGTAAAACTAAAAGTAGTGGCAAAGCATTTAGTCATCTTTAGAAAGCGCTTTTTTTCAAGGTTTTCAAAAGAAGACTCTGCCAATTCTCCGCTACCCCTCGAACGGATGAAGAATGGAAAGAACAAAGAACCCAAGTATTCTTTTTTGAAGAATTAACCAGTGCAATTTTTTTTGCGATGTCTAGTATTTAACTCTTTCATAGAATTAATTTAGTTGAGACTCACAGTTGACGAATAAATCGACAGAGGTACATTTTTAATTCAACTTCACGAGGTAACACCTCGACAACGATGCATTTGCACGCTAAGCTCACTATCCAGGCACCATTGAATATGCCAGCTACATTAATCAAAACATACAGTTTGTCCAGTTGATTGGATTCGTTGATTTAATGAAGTATTTTCGCTGAGCAATACCAGCAAGAAATTACTTTTGTCTTAGGAAACAAAGGTACTACGACAGTAGATTGTAATTCTGATACTACAATTTAACGATACCGTTTAGCACCTTGATTTTAAGGCTTATTAGGCAGATTTCGTGAAGTACTCAACACGATAATGCCCTCAAAGCTTAAAAACAATGTTTCGAACCTTTCTCATCATTGACCAGTATACCGGCTATTTTCAAATTCAGACAAGTGCTTCGCTTCTGCGTGAAGAAAATCACTCTTGATTGAACTTCGGTGTTTCAGGAACAGGCTATGGTGGACGCATGCTCGATGTGAATTCAGGCGCTGAGACAATGATGTCAACCGTAAACCTTATCCTCCTAAAACTAAGTTGTGATAGCGGGATCGTATGCGTCTGCATAGAAAGGCTCTAACTCGAACGCGGTAAGATGTTTAGCAAGGGAAGTATCTTCTGGACAAGGGCTGTCTCATGTACGTCCGTAAGCTTTTGCTTTCCAGAAACTAGAAGCATACTTCTAACTTTCAAAAAGAAGCCTTGTAATTGTGTTAAACGTCACTGAACAGTTTAACTACTGGAGTTCGCTGGTTATCTATAATTGACATGAATTGTTCTTTACGTGTTAGTTCGCCTTTAATATTAATAGATACGTAAACGTGAAATATGTCTAATAGCAACACAGAAAATTGTCGTACCAAAAATACGAATACCAGCTCTTCACCACAAAAGGGCCAAAAGGCCGACGCATCTCTATTTTATTATGCAGAAATTAGAATTAATCAAAGTCGCAAATAAGAACGATTCACCAAAGTTAGCCAAGGGAAAAAACTACGTACAGCGTATGCAAAGCGTATGTCTCGTGTCTATTTAGGTCTCTAGGTTTCTCTAGGCTGCAAAATACGCTTCAAGAGGATGATGCCAGCAGGCTGTTATTCATGACTTGATACTGCACAGTTGAACAGGTTTGTCAGGAACAAGGAAATCCAGGTTGTTGTTGTTGTTGGTTTTTAGGCCTTTCTTCTTCTTTTATTAGCCACAAAGACAAGATAGGAGGGTGAATGCAACATGCTTGCTTGTCCCACAACTCGATTCCACAACGTATAACAATGCAACAGCTAGAAAATAGTTCGTAGAAAACTCTAAAAAGTCCTTTCCTATTCAGTTGATCTCATCCCCATGGCTCCTCGGTGAAAGTAAGCAATTGTCAATTAACTTAAGTTTCTTCTTGAGCATCGTGTATAAATATCGCCCGCTGTTTCTGTCGAATGGGACGATAGCAGCAGGCAGGCAGGAGTAACAGGGCATACATAAAAAACAAAGGTCACTTTGAATTGATGCAGCTACTGTATCACAAAATGACAATATTTAATCTATTCGAAATTTTCTTGATCAGAACCTATCATAAAGGTGATCGGTCAACCCGGTTGGGCAGAAACAACAAACTAGCCAGGCAAACAATAGGCTCTTAACATGCTATCCACTATTACCATGAATGAAACGCAAACGAAGGCCTACAATTGTAGCTCATCATGGATCCGTATACCGTGGTCTATTACTTACGCCTTGTTGACTTCTCGTGTGAAACAAGCATGCAACCTGGTTCAATTTCCGGAAGACTTTTGTCTAGTTGAGTTATGAGCTGAAAGTTCGCAATGAATAAATAACCGGAACAGACAAAGCAAGATTTTTGCTTGTCGAAATTTGCACCGTACATACATGCATCCATCATCTCGAGCCGTGTGAAGGGCACAGAAGTTTTTGGGCACCGATTTGTCAAACCAAATAAGCCAATCGATCACTCCGATGTTTTCATTTATCGGCGCAGTGATTGTTTTCCGAGATCTCTATTAACTGTTAATGGGACCAATTGACCTATGAACAGACATAATAACTACGCCCAATTCCTTGGCCACGGTAAGTATGAGCCAGTAATGGAAGCTCAGTAGTTCTGCACTCTCTCGCGTTGACGGTAAAATAACTGTAACAAAAACGGCACGACATATGTTCATACTCATCGCATTCGTGAAATCATTGAGCTCTATTATATGATGGCTGTATGTCACAACTATCTCATCATAGAATCAACTGGCTTTTTTATCTCTCCCATATATTTTTCACCAGACCGTGTTCTACCACCTCTTTGTACTCTTTTGGGAAGTAATGAAGCTATGGTAGCTTATAATCGATATTTCAACAGTGTGCCGTTTAACGAAACGCGTTTTTCTGTTCACATGTACAGTTGGCCCGTGATCCCCTTTTCGGGGCTAGCTGTAACCCCACACAGCAGGACTTATCTGTAGGCTGAGACTAGGACAAGAAAACATAAATTAGATTTCTTTTAAATAGTTTCGGTAAGTTTCTTTTTAATTCTCTAGATGGAGAATTGAATTCGCCATACCAAGACAACAGCCTTAGGTGTGAGCCATGCATCTAACATTTCTCACTTTTTGGGCGTTCTAAGTGATGATATTGTAGTACAGCAGTCCAGTGTTAGTCGACGCCATTTTTATCGCCATACCAAGTAGCCGTAACGATCAGCCTCTATTAGCGTTCAATGCTAAAATGCAAATTCCCTTATGAGATAGTCTAGAGTTCGAATAGGGAGGAAACAAAATTCTCTTGGGGTCAACTCTATGGAGCAATACTTCAACTTCAGTTGTGTGACTTAACGCTGAATTAATAGCGTTTGGAGGCAGCGTCGGTCGCAAACTTCGATAAAACAACTGAAGATTATTACAGAGAATCAGAAATATTCTTTTAGCACGATCTTCACAGATTTTAGCATAGCTCACAAAAATCGCCACCCATAGGCGGCTTTAAGGTTTTTCTCTATCTATTACATGCCACTCCGATTGCACTCGAAGCGTTTAGTCTTACAGCTAATTTCAACAGGGAAGATTTATTACAATGATCTACATGGCCGACATGATGTATGACATGGTGTGAGCCTTTATTGCTTGTTTAATTCTCACCCGCATGGTCAATCAGTTTAATCACTATTGTCATAATATTCAAGTGTTGATTGTTAGAAGCTGGCTGGATAACTTAGTTAGCGCATTCCCTTTTCGTATAGAACATCTACAAAGGGTCTAGTATTTTTCAATTTGGGTTCAGTTTTCGCTCAGTAAACGTGCGTTAACCAAGGTCTGAACACGCACGACTCGGAATGGGTGGGAGGGGGGTGGTGCGCTTGCATAGGCTGCATTTTTTTGGCTGGTAACAACAGCGATCTCAACAGCATTTCTTCAACGTCTTTACATTATTTAATCTTATGGTCTTCATCAGCGATTCTTCTCTCGTCTCCTTTTTGTCTGCACCGAATGGACACAGGTAGGTGTGTAACTGCGTCCGCGTTGAAGCGTCATCATGCAACGAATGTACCCGCTTCTACAACTACCGCTTTCTCTTGCCAACAACAAAGCGTGGCAGCGATTTCGTTCGCGTGTAGAGCTCGTCCGTCCATTGATTTAATCATTTTGAACGCCCCCTCCCCAATAAAGCATGCGAATTGTTTCGTCTTTAGATCTTCGTGCCGAATTGACGTATCTACGTTAGAGCAAGTGTCGTTCAGGAAGTATATCTGAAGGAGATCCGATTCAAGTCTAGACTGACTCCACATGTCTGTAGCGAGGGCGATCCCGAGAGGAAGCTGCCGGCCCTTACTGCGTGCTGGCTTCGGCAAGAAGTTGTTTGAAACCCCAGAAACATGGCAATTAGCGTCTTCTGTAGATTTAAGAATGTCTAGGAAGGCAAGTAAGCAGATTTAATGGGAGGTCACAGTAAGCGCGGAATTCTGTCTGTCGACTGTACGGTAGCGCAGCCCGCTTGTCAGCAAGGCGAGTGCTACCCCGAATGAGGTTACGGACGTAATATCACTACAACCCCTACTGTGGCTGATCTGTCCTGCTTAGCCTGCAGCGGGCAGCCTCCTCCTGCTAGCGGTTCGTGTAGGTCTCGAGAACGGGGGGCGGGGCCTAATGCGGCAGGCGCGACCCTTTCCACGGCAGCCACCCTCCGAGGGCCATCACCATTGAGGCTTGCAAGAGCCTCAGGACCGAACTCGGCAGTATGCGGCATCTTGTAGCGCCACTTTTTGTTGTAGTGAGCACTGTTTATAAAAGTAGCGGCGTTACCCGCGCTCGGCGTCAGATCTCGTCAGCAAGCGCGACTTGAGCATCAACAGCAGCGGTCCGAACGCCCCATCAGCGTTTGCTGCTCGCACCGGCGCTGAGAAACGATAGTAGGTGTGCGTGTTCGCAACCGGACACGGGAAACGCAAGCGCAAGAGGTCACTGACGTAGCGGCTTTTGGACAAAGTCAACTTTGAACTTTTCTGGCAGAGAAGATTTGTGAAACAAGAGACGAAAGGAAACAACAACTTTAGACGGACATCGACAAGAGTTAACTGGCGGTGTTGAGCTATTCGGTGTAATTCCGAGCTATACCCTGTCTGAAGCGAACCTTCTAATTACACAGACAGCTTGTCAGCTGCTCGTGGACTAGACGACAGGAAGTAGGTGGAAAAAAAGCTGAAGAACGAAGCGGACCTATCCAACAAACAAGTTTATGCCTAGGACTATCCGACTAACTGGCTATCGGCGGTACATCTAAAGTGTGATCCTTGTTCTTTACTGTTTTCATTGCCTTTGATAGTGTGAACCTTATTGAGCAACGAGGGCGCTTGTGGGTCGCTCTGCTGTGCACACAGGCACATCGATATGCAATTTAGGTGAGTTTGAACTAATGTTTACGGATTAGGTTCTAACTGGATTAAGGCAATGGTGTCGATGTCATGGGAGCGGCCGTAGAGGCTATACGCCGGAACCGTACCGAAAAGTTGTTTTGGTTTCCTGAACCAGCACTCGCTAGGGACACAGATAGTTTTATAATAATGACTCAATGACAAACATCTGCTGGACAGCATTTTCACGGGAGTTATTCTAAATACACAATATAATTTGTCAGACAGTAGATCGTGTAACCTGACATAGCGAACGGGTAAAGGCTGGCCAAAACCGGGAAAATTGACTTGCTGGGTAATAAACGAAATGTTTAACCGATTTTTTTTCCAAGTATTGCACCACAGCATAAGTACAGTTTAGACCCTGTGTGTTTTACCGAGTAGAAACTTGGTCGATTCAATCAATTGTAGGCAGACGATTTATTGCCATACACGCCAGCTGCCGCTAAACAGCTGAAATTCAAATCGACATAAGTTTTTTTTTCCCTTCGGGGTGTCTATATAGTCGGAGGTAAATGTCAATAATCATGATTAGGAAAAATTAATCTATGCGAGTTTAAGGGGTTAGTTTTGACGGAGCTCCTAAATATTAGTTTATTATTACGAAAACAATAACATGATTGATTTTTCAGCAGAGACAAACTTCCTTAAAACTACTGGTAAAGATAAACTGAAAAGCAAACTTTCATAGGCGACCAGGACATGTCCCTGTGGGCACATTTCGACTGGAGAATTGTCGCAATCTTATCTCGTAAGAGTCCCTCTAAATCTGACCAACATTTACCTGCTTCGATTCGTCGTAGGTTCATTCAAGCAAGCTAACAGAATTTTTCCGATCGGTGAAAAGGAATCAGTAGAAGAACTTAGAAAAGTTCGAGCTTGCCGTGTTCAATGTGGAGTACGTGGTTATGCTTCTAAAAGTACGAGGCAGTTAACAGCAGCTTGCTTACCACGAATTACGATGTAATGAATCAATTTTACCGCAATTTAACAATTGCCGCAGATTTAAAGCCATCATCCCAAACCTTTGTATGGTTCATAGAAAGCTGAAGCTGATCATAGACAGAAATTTTCAACCCGATCATTCAACTAGAACTATTATTTTGGATCAGAGTATGTGCTTTACACGTAATGCGCTTAAATTGTTCAACCTTCCCAATAAATTCTAATTATTTCGGTGTTTGAAAGCTCGTTTGATTCACTCTGTAGTCAAATCCTTAACTGTTGCAAGTTAATTGCAGCTAGAAGATATGCTCAAGGTTTATTCAGGGCACAGTTAACTAATGGATGTCCTAAGCGGATGCGGGCGGTTCCTGTTCGGCAACCCTTAAAAAAAATGTAATATGTTCGTCATGAACTTGACTTAAAGAACGATACGAGTTATCCAATATGAGTTTGGCATCACCCGGTTACAGTTTATGGCATAATAGTCACACGGACGGGTGCGTCGCCCTAATCCCGCTACTGGCGAACCCTCGTCCACCTATGATAATGTTACATGGTATTTACACAGAAACAATTCTTTCTAATATACCTAGACGGTGTTGATGTTCTTTATCTGTTTCTAAGTTGAAAATGACATCTGGTTGGTTAACAGAACAACGTTCAAACTCTTGAACTTCCTACAACTCATTAGCTATATTGCCCTATCCTGGGCTTCGAAAAAACAAGCGGTGTAAGTAAAAGAGAGCATATTATACGCATGGTCATAGTATTGAACACAATGATTTCATGGTATTTGTCCATTGCTGCGTGGGAAGAGAGTTAAAGGTAATGAAGGAATGCAGCCTACTGTTTAGGACCACGTTTAAAAGTCGATTAACACGGCTGGCCCTTCCTAATACTGCATAAGATGTCGATTTCAAATCTAGATCACCTCGAATGGCCCTTCCGAGGCCCCTTGTGAGGCCAACACGCTGTCGCTTTACTACCAGGGGGCAAGCACATACTTGAATAACGCTTAAATAATCTAAGCACGAAGATGGCTACAGTTGTACAAGCGGCCTGTTTTTGCAGATTTGCGTTATTCGTGAATGTATTAGTTAATTAATGGGGTTAATATTTCACTCCAACAGAGTGACTGCTGTCATCAAGTGGTACGTTTATCAGCACTGCCATTTGAAACGAATGTTATTGCCATAAGGGAATACATAGATTAGATTGGACAGTATTTTTGCGACGAGTATTGCAAAAATCAAATTGAAGCCAAACTTATAGCCGCCTTTATTTCCGCCCGTCGCTTTTCGTTCTAGCAAATAACACAAAACCCATACTAACCATATGCCAAAATATACACGAAAAGTACAGATAAAATACCCTATATATAGGGTATTTGATCTGTACTTTATTATTTTTATATTAATCCGTCTCGGTGTCTTGCGGGTGCAGCATACTGCAATCCTCAACTTTAATTTACTTTAATGTTCTCTAACAGTTCAGTGACCTTTTCTAAAGAAGGCGTTCGCTCGCCATGAGATCTCAATACAACCAGAATGAGTATTTCAATAGACGATTACCAGTGTGATGTCGTGTCCCCGTGACAGCGCAGTAGGTAACGTGCTTGCATAGTTAAATCAGAAAGCCGCGATGATTGAACTTCGAATCCAAGCGGAGACACCCTTCGCTTCGTGCTGGGAGCCATCTATCCGACGTAATATCTTTTGGCATAAAAGGAAAAAATTGCAAAAAAAAACGCAAAACACAGGAAACAAAAGTTTGCTTTTGAGCGACGTTTAGCGTTTCGAGCGTCAACAATATAAATCTATATAGCTTGCTCTATATATTATTGCCAATGCAAAACGTGGATTACGCACAAAAAACAGGCCAACGATTGCTTATAATTAAATCAAAAAACCACGGAGAGCCTGCCACATATAATTACAGCAGACGCACAATTAAAGATCCGACGTTTCTAATGCGCTGCATACCATAAGACAAACAAATAGAAATGTCTACATGAACATTGTTGTTGTCGTATTTCCGCGTTATCATTATTCCATCAGAGAGTTAGACGGTAGGCTGGCTCCCGGCACCAAGCGAACTCGTGTGTCTATGCCCGGGTTTGAATCTACACCACACTGTGTCCCTAACCCTGTCAATATATAGATGTTCGCTATTGTTGCATTCCATTTCATTTTTGAAAACATTTCACGTTTTCGTTCAAGCAGCGTTTCGAAATTAGCCAACGGAACAAAACACTCGTCGTAGTGGCAGGAGTTGGTTACAACATACAATTACCGTTACCCGAACTTCATCGTAAATCATTTTGCCGACGAGTGTTTTTGGAGTACTCCTGCAATTGAGCCATCATCTGTCTTAGGTGTGCGTTGTGCCGTTGTACTTTTCGCAGTTCGACTTTCATTGAGTATTACCCTCCAAAGTCCTCCGGGAATCAAGCCTCCCCTGCGAAAGTCATTGAATTCAGAGGGCGAACTTTTCATCCAGTAGTAGCCCAGGCGGCATCTGCTTATATCTGACTGGTAAATTGTCTACTGCTGGGTTATATGGTAGCTCATCCGAATGCTTTCAAAACTAATCCTGACATGTGTCCCGAAAGTGGAAACCTCGAAAGAGAGAAATGATCTTTCTATATTATTCCGAGTCCGTTTTTAGATCTATATAGTAGTTTAGACAATTAAACGTCAGCGGTCCGTGGTACAAGGCCCGTCACCCGTACCGTACGACAAGCGTGAATAAACACATACAGAAGGATCTATTTAAAATATTAGACAAACACGAACTCGTTTTCCTGTTGGGGGTACAGTCAATGAAATAAAGAATTCCTCAATTATAGAAACGTCATGCGGTCACAATAATGTGTGTAGACACCTCTAAGAGATCATGGGATGGCGTCTACCGCGACCGATCACTCACCTGGAATGTGGTAACATCTACATTGTACATCCGTTTTGACTTAGTAAAACCTGATATTGGAACATGCCGTAGTCCAGCAACCTGCCATAGTCCAGCAACCTGCCATGCACGTTTTGTACATAGTCATCGCTTAAACGTCAGATTCAACATTCATAGTTAACCTCGTATTCTAACCTCGAAAAAAATGTCTTGAGTTTTACCGCCGTTGCTTCGAGCAGTTAGCTGCTACGATAAAACGAAGTATGTCTACTCTTGGTTTCGAACTTGAATCACCACTACGTGTCCTAGCCCTGAGTATCCTTTAGAACGCTTAATTTACAATTCTTACAATCTATCAAGCCATCCACTCGTGCTCGATTCGTCGTTCTCGCTTGTTGACGGTAACAGATGGAAAGATAGCAAATTGGAAGGGCAAACGTGAACGGCAACGTAAAGTTTAAACCGCTACAGCGGTAGCATTCACGTTAACAAGGGGAGCAGCAGGACAATGATGATTATGAGCCATCCGTACTATTGGCTTGCTTTGAACTACCCGTTTGTAAGCGGCTGAATGAGGCATTAAACGACACGTTATCTGTAACCAGGAAGCATAATATAATGGATAGAGAAACGTTCCTTCTAGTACCTATTTTTTGAACAAGTCTAAGGTTGCGAAATAGGTTGGAAAAGGCCGGGAAACTTACAGGAAAATCATTTCCATAGCATTTATTGGATCCCTTTTTTCGTCTCCCTTTCAGGAATACAACTTGGAAACGACGTACAGTCCAGTTTGGCAAACATAATTTAGACATGTAGAATGTACGGAACACTGAAATGTTACATGACATCAGATGATGGCTGATCATAGTATAGATAATGTCGTTCAGTTGGCCAAATATTCTTCATCACCTTTATATGCTATCCTTCATGTTGCATCGTTAATATTTGGCCCTGCTCATGGCAAACGACTAGTTTCAATTGAACTCAAACAGATTCGGGAGACGAAAACATTCGACGACCAAAACAAACGATCTCGTATTTGATTTTAGAAGCAAGTGATGTATTTAGTTGGACTCGTGAGGTCCAGACAGTTTTTCCTCAAAGAACGTCGAGTGTTTACTGGACCGTATTTACTT